CCTCTGGTTAATGCCCGATCATTTTTCAATGAGAATTCCAAATGTCTGTTTTCTCAGACCAGTCTCTTTAAAAATTGTTAGACGGGAGGATATGCTGGGGCCAAGACTCCCTTCTGCCTAGGAGCAAATGTCACTTAAGCAAACAGCCTGAGTTAAAGAATATTTTATTGCCCTCCTGCCAGGGAAAAATTATTAATCAGATAAGCAACTCGAGCTGAGAAATGTTTTAATTGACTTCTTACTTGTGAGAAAATATTTAGATAAGTAATTTGGGCTAGGAATTCTTGTGGGCTTAGAGAACTTTGCAATTACAGGATGACCCTGGACCTTGACTGCTAGATGACCCTCCTGCCTGCCTGCCTTTAAAACAGAAACCCGAACAATAAAGTTTAAGCATTTGATCAGACATTCAGACTTGTTCTTCTTCCTTGTGTCTCTTGTCCCATCTTTCGCCTCCCCTTCCCTAGGGTCTCATCGAATCCCCAGGGGATCTCTCTTCCCTGGATGTCAATTGTTATTTATCTTATCTATAATTGGGTTTGGCTTTGTGGAAGTATCTGTTTCATTAATATTTTTGCAGCCATCTAGCTGTGCCTTCTTTAGTATCAGATATATCAATTCCCAGTCCCATATGAGAACTGGGTCTGGGCCATTCCATTTAAAGGTAAGAGGGTCCTTCTACATAACTGAGGCATAGTTTTTGTTGGTCTCAGAGTGCCAGAGGTGATCAGCAGCAGATTTGCCATGAGTGTCCAGATTTAAAAAATGGAGAACAAACAAGGCATGATGGAGAATATTTCTAGGGGACCCTTTCTGGGTGTATAACTCTCCCTCTTTTGTTTTTCAAAAGCTAATTTTTCAATGTTTCTTGTAAACCCAGGGCAAAAGCACCAGTAGTTGTTCCTCCTACATTCAGAGAGTTATGAAGATATTATTTTAAAGTTCCCTGATATCTGTTTCAATACCTTGTCTTTGAGGATTATAAGGAATCCCAGTAATATAGGTAATATTAAGTTGTCAACAAAACATCTCAAATGTCTGACTGCAATAGCCAGTTCCATCTATCTTAATCTGATATGGAACACCAAGCATAGAAAGATAATGTAGGCAATAACTAATTACATTTTTAGTTGTTTCTCCTGCTAAAGTAGTTGTAACTAGAAAGCCTGAAAAGGTGTCAAGTCACATGTACATATTTTAATTTTCCAAAATCAGAAATGAGTAACATCCACTTGTCATAATTAATTAGGTATAAGTCCTCAAGTATTAATACCATTATGAAAACATTGAGGACACTGAGACCAAGTTTTTGCAATTTGACTTGTACACTCTCTAGAAATACTAAACTATTGTCTCAAGCTATTATTATTAAACATATGTAGCAATCACAATCACTAAGCAATAGCACACTCCTTTGGGGCAGACCTCTGCAGATCCATGAAGATGTACTATCTTGTGGTGCTGCTATATAGACAAATAGATGACCTATTAAGTCTTAATGATGATCCTATAAGAATTATTAAACCTTTTTATAACTGGATATTAGGCCCTTTCTGACAGTCAAAACTGCAATGAGAACTCTGCTAGTCTCCCAAATGTCATCAGTCAATTGTTCTTAAAAAGCAACCAGACTTTTTCCTATTCAGAGCACATTCTAAGAGGTTGTAAAACAATTAGCCAAAGGTCATTAAAAGGGAACCAAGGATTTACTATAAGTGCCAGGACAGAAGATAAAATATTGCCTGGGCCTATCTATATCAAACTTCACTAATAAACATTCTCTGCTGCAAATTTCTATTTCAGTTTATGATTTGACCCTTGGTGTGAACTTGTGATGAACCCTACAACATGTGATCATGTATTCTGAAAGATGTATAAGCACTGAGGACAAAGAGATGAGAAGCAGATACAATGGAGAGATAAAATAGAATTTTCTGCCTATCCCTACTTAGAGTAGCATATAGAGTAGCATATATTTTCCTTTTCTTCACTTAGGACCTTTCCACTTCTCCCCTTAGATAGCTTTCATAGGAAACCCCTCACACCCAGCAACAAACTCTACAATAACTTCTCTAAGTGTCCTCTCCTCCTGTGACCTCAGACTAGCAGGCGTAAGTCAGTGCCCAGCAGTTCCTGCTGAGACAGATCAAAGGCTGTTTGTTTAAATCCTTGCCTGTTTTTAGGATGAGGTGCTAAGTGGAAAAACTGCTGTTTCTGGCCTCAGAGGATCACAGAAAGCAGGCCAGCCACAGTGGTACAGTAACTTAGACAAGTAAACTTTTCTTATATAGCAACTCTAAGTATCTCCTAAAACAAGGTCCTAACCCCTGCCGACACTCTTCCCCCTCCTCTGACTCAAGAAGAAAGAAGGTCTATAATCTGCCTAGTATACAATCTGCTGTGGCATTTTCCTGGGGTCCAGGCAATAAAATATAAGCTCTTAAATGTCTTATAAAGTTAAGGGAAAGTACATATTTCTTAAATTAAGCTGTATTTGTAAAATTTGAGAATTAGCAACATTTATTTTTTTTTTAGCAACATCTAAATAAGGAGCAATTTCAAGCAATTATAAACCATGAGCTATATACTGGCTATGAGTATACAAATTGAAAGCTTGATTTTTCAGCATTTCAAACAGTGGCTACAGCACATAATTCAATTATTTGTGCTGAAGCAGGGGAAAACTCAAGAGAATGAACATATGATCTAATTACATATACTGTCTTCCCTTTAGATGAGCTGTCTGTAAATACAGTAAACACATTTTCTACGGGCTGCATGAATAAATTTACAAGAAATACAAAAGCATGAATACAGGAAAATTGTAACAATTTGTCTTTTGGATAATGATTATCGAATTTGTGTAAAAAGTTGATAATGTAATAGGCCAAATATCAATATTCTTTAATAACCCATTTAATTGCTGTTTGGAATAAGGAATACTTCATTAAGTTCTTTCTCAAAATACTTTTGTGATCTTGACCTACAATTGTGTATTACCACAGCAACAGCTTCAGAACAGGCTGTTAAAACTTTCTTTGGAGATAAAGAAATATGAATCTACATTAATGATCCCTTTTGCCAAAGAACTGCTGTGAAATAGCCAACAATTGATCAGTCTGTGTAATGTAACTATTGATAACTAACAGCTTCCTCTACTTTCTGCAAAGCTATTTCTCCTTCATCAGTTAATTGTTGAGGGGAATTAGGATTTACATCCCCCTTGAGAACTTCAAACAGAGGTTTAAGTCCTCCTCTGGTGAGCTTAAGGTGAGGTGTTATTCAACTAGCATCTCCTAGAAGCTTTTGAAAATAATTTAATAATTTTTAAAATAATTTAAATAAATAATTTTTTTGAATTTTCTGGGCCACAATTTGTATAGGAATATAACTGGTGTCTCAAATATTGAAAAGATATTGCCTTTGAATGTTTCCTGGTGCAAAAAGCACTCCCCAAAACTTTAAAGTTCGTTGTGAGAGCAAAGGCTTGTATTGAAACTCCTTCAGAGGGATCAGCTAACAAAATACCATACAATGAATGACATACACTGAAAGATTTAAACTCCTAAATTTTTGCTTTGAATCAGTAACAGTTTTATATATATATATATATATATATATATATATATATATATATATAGATAAGTAGCCATTCCTTGAGGCAAAACTTTCCAATGATATTGCTTCATGGGCTCTCAAAAATTACAAGCAAATATGTTAAATGTAAACCTCTTATAGTCATCTCTACCTGTTCGATCCTCTTCTCAACCATAAACATGTGTGAGTCAAAATTTCTCGAGCTCACGATTGACCTGCCAACTGCAGCCAATAGAACACTGGCAGTTTAGCTATATTTTTAAGTTTCTTTGATTACAAAGAAGATTACAAAGATTAGAGTATAACCATAACTTTGGGAAACAAAAACAATTTTTAACAATGCAAACAATCTATTTTCTCTAAAATCAACACCAAGTACATTACTTTTATCTTATAAAGTTTGACTGCCAATTCTTACATATGAATGTATGATAGTGCAGCTTTTAATATGTCATTAAAAAGACATTTTAAATCTTATCCTTTAAACATCTGGTTTCTGAGTGACCCCAACCCTGAGTTATCAGTTTTAATCCAGCTTTTTGTTACCAAAATTGCAAATTTTTGATCATACCCAATAACTTATAGGCTAATGTTGTATAACCAAGACATGTAGAAAATGTTAAAACTTTTAAAAGCAGTCAGAAACAAAAATGAAGTAGATGCACATCTTATATTCTTTTATCTAAACAAATTTTTCTTACTTTTTTTAAAGCTGTAATTTCAATAGACAAGCACCTTGTCAATTGTTGAACTCAATAAACCAATAAACATTGTCACAGAAATTTTCTAGGAAAAAAGCCATCAATTTCTTTACCATGGAAGTCAAAAAGCTGTTGGCCCCTCCAAGAGCAGCTTATGCAAATAATCACTCTTGCCAGGATTCCTCCTGCTGTGCCTTACTCCCAGCCACAGAGCAGGGAAACTTATTTATCAGCTTCTGTTGTGTAAATTGAGATTACCTTTTAAGCAAGTTTTAAACTAAATCAAGGGGTGAATGGCCATCCGTTTTAATCATTTTTCTTTTGAACATGAAACATAACAACAATCATTTAAACAAAGAAACAAAGAGAGACAGTTGACATACGTGGACAAATTTGGGGCGCCAAGGACAGACAATAGACAGAGGAAGCATAGCTAAGAATCTCTCTGGCAGGAGCCACTGCTTCTCCTGAATCTTTCCTGCTCCCAGGAGGGCTCTGAAATAGGCTTTTCCTTTTCTTTTGCTAACACACCTGAGAGAGGACAACTGCTTAGCCCTTTCTTCCTTTCATTCTCAAGGTCTAACTTTTCATTTTAGCATTTTGTCATCAATAGTTCCCTCTTGGGGAGACCATGGACAAACACCACCAATGAATTCAAGGAATCTTTTAAGATCCTTTTTCTTAACCCTTATTCCTTGTACTATGAGGGACTCTTTGAGACCCTTTAATAACAAATCATGTTTGCTCAACATTTGTCCCATAATTGCATTGCTTCGTCTTACCTTCACCGGATCAATTTCACAGGTGGGTGACTCTGCGGTGATCACAACCGGATCTACTTTCTTCCCCTCAGAGAAGCACGGATCCTATGCTTGTAGAAGCAACCAACGTTCAATTAGACCCCTACCCAAAGGGCACACATCGGGTGCCAAGATGCCCCAGCCCTCGGGGATTCGATGAGACCCTAGGAAAGGGGAGGTGAAAGATGGGTCAAAAGACACAAGGAAGAAGCACAAGTCTGAATGTCTGATCAAGTGCTTAGACTTTATTGTTCGGGTTTCTGTTTTAAAGGCAGGTAGGCAGGAGGGTCATCTAGCAGTCAGGGTCCAGGGTCATCCTGTAATTGCAAAGTTCTCTAAGCCCACAAGAATTCCTAGCCCAAATTACTTATCTAAATATTTTCTCACAAGTAAGAAGTTAATTAAGAGTTTCTATGGATAAAAATCCCAGGAGCACACTGCCTTCAGGCATGGCTGGATCCAGGGTTATGAATTGACCAGGTAGACAGAAGACATCCCAGATGTTGCACTAAGGAGAACCCAGAGGAAGGAAGTAATACTTCTGACATCTTCAGCAGAATCCTAGAGTATATTCTCTCTAGCCCAGCAAGGAGCTTGTGTGTAATCCTCAAGGAGACAGGGAATGTCAGCTAAGCCAGGGTCCTCCGGAAGACTGCCTTTTATGAAGTGGGAGGGTATCAGGAGCTGGTGAACAAGTACTCGGAAGCCATCCCAAGTAAGATCCAGCAGGGGAACTGGACTGCCAATCCAGAGTGTTACACGCCTCGCCAGGATGCTTTCCATATCTTCCGAAGCTGTGTCTCTGGTGACATCCCCTGGCCCGGGCTCATCTTAGGAGCCACTACTGTCTCTCTGTTCTATGGGTGTGCTGATCAGGTTTCTGTCCAGCGGTTTCTGGCAGGAAAGAGCAGGCTTCATATGGAAAGTGGCTGCCTCTTGTGTGGCTACTTAAAGCTGCTGCCTATGTTCCTCATGGTGATGCCGGGCATGATCAGCCGTATCCTGTTCCCAGATCAAGTGGCATGCGTCGTACCTTCGGAATGCGAGAAATTCTGTGGCCAAGTAACCGGCTGTAGCGCCCTGGCTTACCCAGTGTTGGTCTTAGGAGTGATGCCTCCTGGCCTGCAAGGTTTTATGCTGTCCACAGTGTGCGCTTCCCTTATGTCATCCTTGACGTGCATTTTCAACAGTTCCAGCGCCCTGTTCATGCTGAACATTTACACCTGGATTCGGCCCACCGCCACGGAGAAAGAGCTCATGATAGCTGGCAGGTGAAGTGTCTGGTCATGTCAGTCGCCATGTCAGTGACTGACTTCCCGGAATGTAGGCTGTTAATACTTGACATAAAACTATCGTTTGGTTTTTTTTCCTCAGTCCATGTGTGTGGGGGGGTTATTCTTACACAGCTTCGAAATGATGATATAAGATGCTGGTTGTCACAAGGAATACTGTTTCCATATGGTTTAAAAAAGGAAGTATTGATTATAATGAGAATAAAAATGAGCATAGTTTAAAAAAAAAGAAGTCAATTAAAACATTTCTCAGCTCGAGTTGCTTATCTGATTAATAATTTTTCCCTGGCAGGAGGGCAATAAAATATTCCTTAACTCAGGCTGTTTACTTAACTGACATTTTCTCCTAGGCAGAAGGGCAATAAAGTATTCCTTAACTCAGGCTGTTTGCTTAAGTGATATTTGCTCCTAGGCAGAAGGGAGTCTTGGCCCCCAGCAGGTAAGGGCTTAATTTCATATGTCTTATTTGGATTCCAGAAGTATTATTGTATATGATTTAACAGCATATGATATATAGTTTGTTTTGTCCCCAGTATTTGGAATATAAAAGTCTGTCTGGGAGCTATAAGATAGACATAGCATTTTATGCTTCCTCTAACTCTTTACCCTATTTGTAGACTCTATTGTGTTTTCCAAACTTCAGGCTCTTTTGAACTGAAGATTATCTCTCTAGAGGAAAGCTTTTAATAGGAAAGAGAATAGCTTCATTGAACTCGAAGCTCTGACTTACAATATGGATGCTGTTGCGTATCACTCAGTTCCTTAAGAATCTTTTAAGATCCCTTTTCTTAACACTTATTCCTTGTGCCATGAGGGACTCTTTGAGACCCTTTAATAACAAATCATGTTCCATAATTGCATTGCTTTGTCTTACCTTCACCGGATCAATTTCTCAGGTGGGTGACTCTTCAGAGGCAAGAGTAGAATCCCAAGAGCTGCTGATGGCCTACAAGCATCATCCTCAGGTATTTCACTCAGCTAAACAGAGCTGTTTTGTTCAAGTGATTCCTCTCCCCAGAAGATGCACCACAGCTAACATCTAATCAAGGGGGATATTAAACAGGAGGCTTAAATAGAATAGAGGGTAGGAGGACAGGGTAGATAATTAACAGTAAAGGCTTCTGAAAAGCCATATGGGAACTCAATACTATAGGAACTTCCTAAAACATATCCATAAAAAAAAAAGAATTTAAAGGGAGTTAGCATTCAATGGCTTTGGGGTAATACACAATCTAGATATCATATGCTACCAAATAAAACCCTTAGTACAGGGTATAGGTTACATTGTTTTAAGCTGTTAGCCAGTGAGATCCCATAGACCTCCCAAATATTCCAGCCTATTACCAATGCTATTGATTACATTCCACAATTTGATGGGATGATATTCTTGCTGAAGATACTGCATATTTAGGTGCCTTAAACACAGATCTAACTGGTATTCAACTGGAAGTGTCACTCTTCGTTTTCAATTTAAGAGTTTCATACTTTTTATTGGTTCTTTGTGAACTAAAACTTCCGTCTTAACTGACTAGTGTTCATGGTGGTAGAAGGTACTTTCTACTGGAAAAGAAAACTAATCATTAATCTCACCCAACTATGAACCTGTAATCTACAATAATGACCTGCCAAAAACACACAACCATTAGTGCAATAATGACAAGAATGTTAGAGGTGACTAACTACCCTTTGATCAGACATAAGGTCTGCTCCATGAGATGAAACCACTATCATGACATTGTTAATAAGGCCAAAATAGGTCATAGGTCCAACCCTGCCTTTCTCTGTCTTCCATGAGAATACTTCTTGAGTGCTATCCCCAGTAAACTTTTTGAACACATAGCTTTTCATCTTTTGCCTCTAGGAAAATCTGAAGAAAGACAGCAACTTTTTGCTTTGGGATTCTCAGGCTGATAGATTAATGAGCAAAGGAAACTGTACAATGGAATCAGGAAATAATCTCTGGGTTCTTATTACTTTTATTCTGCTAAATGAATATAGAAACAAAACAACTCCTAATGACATTTTGCTATGCTCATCCCTCATCAGAGAAGCTTTTTCTATCAGTAGAGGATAATTAACACAGACACCCACAACTGAAGAATGTACAGAAAATCATTTTGAAGTCTTAATTTTTATCTTTATCAAGCACCACTTCCGCATGCATACCTGAAGGCTCAGGATCTATCTGGAAGAGGAGGAAGAAAGATGGTAAGAGCAGAGGTGGTAGGTAACTTCCAGGAAAGGGTGTTTTCCAGACATAACAGGGAAGATGCACATGTAAACTATCTCAGATCTCAGGGAATTTATACGGGTTCAAGTTAGAGAAAACTCAGGAAGGGAAGTACTGAGGAAGGGAAGTAGGCACAATACCCCACCATTAAACAAGAAACTATTCAAAATTGATAGTTACTGGGACAAGGAGAATCAGTCTTCTTCAATCGAGTTACATTGATTATATCAACCACACTGCAGAGCAGGCTCCATGCTCAGGGATAGTAGAAAAACACAAAACAGAAGTGGAGGAATATCTGGGTGGAGTTGAGGAAGGAAGTAAAATATGATGAAAATACATTGTTTGAAATTATCAAAGAAGAAATAACATTTTAAAAATGAATAAAATGTCCTTTTGCTAGGGTGAAGTCAATTTGAAGAGTCATTCCAGCCCTAGGGTCTAGAGTGAGATCCTGTACAGCCCTGGAGCCTCTATCTTGGTATTTTCTCTATTCAGTCTTATCTATCTTGTTCTTCCATGAGGCTTTTCCTGAATGCAATTTCTATCAAATATCCTGAACACAAAAATTTTCAACTTCTTCTTCTGGGTAAACCTGAAGGGATACAGTAACTTTCTGCCTTGGGCTTTTCAGGCAGATAGATTAACAGGTCAAAGAAATTGTACAGTGGAATCAGGGAAATAATGCCTGGGGTCCACAGAATTCTCTGCTGTCTAATTCCATGCATCATTGCTGGTGTCTGTACTGAAAAGTCACAAGTAATCCATCAACAGCTTCTTAGTGAGGGAGCCAGCTCCTGCATGGGCGACTCCATAAAGTTGTGCAACCTTCACCTTCAAAGGTTTGGTGTGTAGTGTGAGGGAAACTATAATAGATAGGGATAAATGGCAAATTTATTTATCGTTCAAGATTTGCTGTAGCACTTAGTATTAAGCCTTTCTTCAGTAACTGTAGTTTTAAGCATATACCTGCCTCTGTTATGGGGACAACATGATGAATGTGAGTTAATATGGGCTACAAGGAGGGTGAGTAATCCAGCAGACACACAGTGCATAGCATTCTCCAATCCATTCATAAGAGCCTCAGTTTTCCTCCTGATGCTTGGGAGACTAGCTCTGCATCAGCTCAAGTCTGCTGTGACAGGTAGCTTCTTCTTATCCATGACTACATACTTCAGGCTTCTTCCTTTGAAATGTCAGTGGTACCAGAGTGAGATTTTGACTCTAATTCTAGACTACACACACACGCACACACACAAAGAAATGGAGAAAAACCTAGCAAGTTGACAGAACTCAAAAGTTATACAGATGCTTACCATCTCATCCACTGGGTAGATATATTGAAGTATATTTCCCAAGGTGCCATGGGCAGTCATCCTTCAGATGAAGTACTAGTTGTCCCATGTTGCAGCCTTTCTCAACAACACATTCCCTGCTTTCCCTCTCTTTTAGTATTCTTATGGGAATTTCTGCTCCCTTGAAGGCACATTCCTGAGATATTGCCCATAGGCAGCTGGCTCCTCTATATCTGATTTGGAACTCAGGCCAAACCAGCCTCTTAGGAAGGCAGCTGAGTATGACACCAGTGTCATGGAAGAAGAATGAATGAGTTATCATATAAAATTCATGTGGTCATGAAGACTACTTTCTCTCTTCATCTCCCAGTGGTTTCCACAATAATAAAACAGATGTCTATATGTAGCTGTGACTTCCTGGACCAGTCCTGCATATGTCACTCAACCTTTGCCAAGAAAAGTAGATTAAATGATAGGTTGATCTATGATTTGATTATTTGAATCATCTCAGTAAAGGAGTCTGCTGGCGGTTTTTCTTGGTTTTCTCTTTTGTCTTTCAGGTGCTAAGATCAGGTGCCTGTTGGGTATACATGTGAACACTGAGCCACACATCCAGCCTGTGTGCAATTTATGGTTAGTAATTCACTCATATTATTACAGTAATGCATGGGAGGCATGGAAGTTTTTGTGCTCACAGATGAGCATTAGGTGAACCACGAATGTTTGACACTCAGGGTTATTCCTTTCATATGCCATTCTCCAGTTAATGAGTCTCCAAATACCAGGCTCAGTTTCTTTGGCTGAATTCTTCCTATGTTTAAACAGCCACCATGCTCTAGTCTTCATAAGCTGGATGAGGTAGTCATTTGGGTTATGTAAGTTATGACAATATTTTCCTGGTCTCCCCACATAACTGTGCCTCTTCTAGCCTCTGGCCTGAGTTAACTTTGCTCACGTGGAGGCTGAGCACCTGTGTGAGACAGGTTGATTTCCAAAACCATGATCTTTTAGAGCAGAGAATTTATCACATGGTCCATTTCTCACACAAGGGATGGGTCATGTTTTATATGAGTTCTTTCTTGGGGCTGTTTTCAGTGTTGTCTCCTGAAGTGTATTTAAATCAAATTGCACGTACACAGTGTAGCGGGAACACAGCGTCTCATCAATAGAGTTTTAGGTGAAAGTGAATTTTGTGGATGAATCAACTGAGAAATGGGAATGACTTAAATTCACCAGAGCTCAGAAGAAAATGAGTAATAAAGGTAGAATAAAGTGGAATCCTAATAGCTGAAAAGCATTTAAGTTCATGAAGCTTAATCTCACATAGCCTGAAGGGAAAGTGTGTGTGTGTGTGTGTGTGTGTGTGTGTGTGTGTGTGTGTGTGTG